ATTTCCCGGGCCGTCCCGCCGCCCATTAACGCTTATCTCCCGCTCCGATCGATCCCCGCTACCGCCGCTTACCGCCGCCAGCGCGCAGCTATGATTAGAAAACCATAAACTTAATGGCGAGCGTTTGGCCAGTCAACAGCCCGGCGTAGCGCCGCAGACTTTGCACATCAAATATTTATCGCCAAATGAATCTCGGCGCGCGGCACGGACGCAGGCCTCGAAATTAACGTTTATTCTACGTTGAAAAGTTTTCGAGCGGTGAAAAATTGGGTTCTGAACGGTGAAAATATGGGTTTTGAACGGTGAAAAATTGGGATTTGAACGGTTAGAAATTGGGTTTCGAACGGTAAAAATTGGGTTTTGAACGTTGAAAAATTGGTTTTGAACGGTGAAAATGGGTTTTGAACGGTGGTGAAAAATGGGTTTTGAACGATGAAAAATGGGTTTTGAACGCTGAAAAAATGGGTTTTGAACGCTGAAAAATTGGGGTTTGAACGGTGAAAACTGACCCACTGAAGCTTTGTTGAACTTATACCTTTCGTATTATTCCTATTGTCCCAGCACTGTCCCTAAGATACATTTTCAATTGTCCCGAAGTAAGAATGAACTGTCCCAACCTGTTTTTCGGAAAGTATTGTAAGACTTCAACTTGAATTCAACTTTAGTTTGCTTATGTTCACTCCCAGGCTAGCCTCACTGCAGAGTAGACAGGAAATTCGAGGGGACTTTTCCGGATCCAAAAGCCCGGACCTGTTCCAAATAAACATTCTGATGTTGATTTTTTTTTTTCTGTTGTCCCTAATATGTCCCGAAGTGTCTTTTCAGTTGTCCCAGCCTAAAGTTTTGTGGTCAGTGGCCATTGGACCTACTCTCCAAGCAGAGGTGGGGGAATGATCGTTAGCTTTTTATACATTGCCCCTTTTTTTGTCGCTACCCCCACCAACGGTGGCCGGCGATCTTCTCTGGCTAATCAAGGAGCTCCTTGGGCTAATGGATACTGCCTGGCTAATTTGATACTGTCTTTTTGCCACCGAGAGGGATCTGCTTGGAGATTACATCGGACCACCTTTAAAGGCATCCAATGCGATTTCAGAGCAGCAAAACTGGAAATATTCTAAATAAGGCAGTCTTTATGATATTGACACATACTGCTTCACATTAGCACATTTCAATCAGTATTTCATACTTTGTGTATTTAAAACTGCAGAAACAAGCCCCAAGATGAGTCCTTTATTTTATGGGTGGTACCCTAAAAATCAGCCAAGGGTCCTTCCAGTAAGTTCCATTTTTCGTCAGAATTTTGATTATTTTTGCTCCATGAGGTTGCAAATACACTGGAATAGTGTGGTGTCAGCTCAGTATGTAGATAAGTGACTATAGAATATTGAATTTGAAAGTTTGGATTTCCAAGCCTTTAATTTGGAGCCCTGTTACGGGGGGAGCTCGGTACGTGACCCGCTCCCGGTTTTACGGCGGGTTCGGGTCAGGCTGTGTCCACGCGGGGAGGGTTTCTTTACGGCGAAACGACATCCATCAAATAGACGTGACGAAACGGTTAATGCTGGTTACACACGCACACAAATATAGCCTGGGTCCCAGGCTGAGGTCAGGGCTACACACGCACACAGACATAGCCTGGGTCCCAGGCTGCTGCCAGGGCTGATTAATGCTGGTTACACACGCACACAGACATAGCCTGGGTCCCAGGCTGTTCCCAGGGCTAGTTAATGCTGGTTACACACGCACACAAACATAGCCTGGGTCCCAGGCTGCTGCCAGGGCTGGTTAATGCTGGTTACACACGCACACAAACATAGCCTGGGTCCCAGGCTGTTCCCTGGGCCATTCACACGCACACAAACATAGCCTGGGTCCCAGGCTGCTGCCAGGGTCATAAAACCGACGTGACGAAACGGCTAATGCTGAGAGATAGTGAGAGTGATAGTGAGTGAGTGAGTGAGTGAAAGAGACAGAGACGGAGAGAGTGAGTGAGAGAGAAAGAAAGAGTGAGAAAGAGAGAGATAAAGAGAGAGGCGGTAGAGAAGTACCTAACATGACGTAGTAAAGGCGTCATAAGGCGTAAGAACCCTCCACCCGAACGGGCTCTCAGAGAGTCCAGTTTTACGGTTCAGACGAACCTGACGCAGTAAAGTTCTCCTCCTACTCGCGCGTATAACCCGTCTGTTCGCCCGAAAACCGCCCGGAGACCTAGCCTCCTGTGCAGGCCTCGCGGCGGTGGGGAAGAGTTTTTAACGCGTTATTTTAATATAGCCGGTCATCCTACATAGCCGCCGAGAGAATATAGCTGGCCATCCTACATAGCCGCCGAAAGAAGGTTGCTTTCCGCGCCCGCGGATTTTTAATTTCGCTTTCTTCGTGCCGAATGGGAGCAGGCTACGTTGGCGGAATGGAACCTTCTCTCGGCGGCTATGTAGGATAGCCGGCTATATTAAAATAACGCGTTAAAAACTCTTCCCCACCGCCGCGGGGCCTGGACAGGAGGCTACCGGAGACCGCCAAAACGGGCGTAAATGTAACGACGTCTCCATCCGTGAGACTCCCACTTCTGACTCCCGCTACTCCGCCCGGATCACACGGCCGACGTCCCCCGTAATCCTCGCTAATCTGATCCACTTTACACGATTATGTTTAATCTCCGAGCAGATATCTCAGCGGCCAAATTGTAACATAACCAGTCATAACCAACTGGCAATTCGGTACATCTGAATTGGCCACAAAAGATCTGTGAACACTGCAACAGGGAGGAGCACTTCTGTTAGTGTCATTGGAAGGAGAAAGGAAAATGACTGATAGAAGGGAAGAAGGATGGCGGGGAATGGTGATTGAAAACGAGAAAAACTGGAAGACAGAATGTTGTAAGAAAGAACAGAAAAAAACAGAAGAGAGAACATCGAACCACCTAGTCTAGTCTTCCCCAGACAACGCAGGTTCAACAACAATACCCCCCCCCCACCGACGCTGTGCCGCCCTGACCCCAAAATAGGTTCAAGGTAGCCTCTACCAGGCACAACGGATCGCTGAATAAAATAGTAGAAATTGGCAGAAATAAAGGGATGTGATATCTACTATTTTCCCAGCAATCCGCGGTGCCTGGTGGAGGCTACCCTGGCCCTATTCTTGCCTATTTCTATTCGCAACTCCTTCGGAAAGCCTGGTGGAGGCTACCCTGGCCCTATTTTTGCCTATTTCTACTCGCAACTCCTTAGTAAAGCCTGGTGGAGGCTACCCTGGCCCTATTTTCGCCTATTCTATTCGCAACTCCTTAGGAAGGCCTGGTAGAGGCTACCCTGGCCCTATTTTTGCCTATTTCTACTCGCAACTTCTTGGAAAAGCCTGCCGCGGATCGCTGGAAAAATAGTAGAAATTGGCCGAAATAAAGGGATAGTATACCAGAGAAGATCCAGGGCCATAGAGGCTCCGTGGGTCGCAAATTGAAGCCTCTATGGCCCTGGATCTTCTCTGGTATACTATCCCTTTATTTCGGCCAATTTCTACTATTTTTCCAGCGATCCGCGGTGCCTGGTAGAGGCTACGGTCGCGTCAGCGGCGCAGAAATGCGTCTCCCCGCGCCTCCCTGCTGATAAGGTGTTGATGAAGGTGGTTTCGCTCCGGCGGCTGGATGATTGGAGCGCACCTATCGCACTGAGGCGGGGGAAAATCAGTTAACCGTTTCACATCACTACAGCACAGGCGGCGATAAGCCATATCATAGGTTCACATCACTACAGCGCACCTATCGCACGGGCGGCGGGAAGTTATATCATAGGTTCACATCTAAACACGGGCGGGGAAAAATCATTTTACCGTTTTACATCACCAAAGCCAGTGGGAAGTTATATCATAGGTTTTACATCACTACAGCGCACCTATCGCACGGGCGAGGGGAAATCATTT